CTCTCTCCAATCGAAAACAGTGCATTGTGCGGGCCGCACATCTAGCTCCGCAGTTTTTGCGTGGTTGGTCCGGTCGTTCAGCTTGCTCGACGTGAGTAATAAGCTTTGCTTTGATGGCTCTATGTTTTATCGATCCACTTCAAGCAACGAACACCCCGCCCCCCTCCACCGTCCGATCCATTTTGGATCTCACGCCGGAGGGTTTTGGGGTGTCTTGGCTTTAAGTCCTCCACCGACCAATGGGGGACTTTAGTATATTGTTAATGCCGTACCAATAGGCATTAACCTTAGGTAAGCTTGTGCTTACTTTGGACTGTACCCTCCTCATCCTCTGGGGGAGGTAGAGGGGGGGGGGGGGCGCATGGCCCCTATTTTCCAGGGGTTCGGGTACGGGTTGGGGGTCGGGTCTATCTGTACTGCATTCTAGAATTGTCCCCTCACTAGAGCTACTGTGGATTTTCAGTACACAGCGTTCGGCAATCTCCAATACAAATCAACCTGAGGTCTCAGTATGCAGCTATTTTCACTCAAAGCGTCCGTGTGTCTGGCACTATCCAACATCACTCAACTCGTGAGGTTTCAGTATACATAGCTAGTATTCATAGCTATCACCACTCAGCTCGTTTATTTATGTGTCTGGCAAACTCAGAAACCAACCCATCTGTGAGATTTCACTGTGCAGCTATCCCCCTCAATACGTCTGTGTCCGGCAATCTCCATCACAAATCACCGGTGAGGTTTCAGTACGTGTCTTTCCTGACTCAACGCGTCTATGTGTCCGGCACTCCAACATCACTCTACCCGTGGGGTTTCAGTATGCAGCTATCCCCACTCAACCCGTCCATGTGTCTGGCAATCTCAAACCTCACTCAACCCTTCAGGAGTCAGTATACAGCTATTATCACTCAACACCTCTATGTGTCCGGCAATCTCCTACATCACTCAACCTGTGAGGTTTCCGTAAGCAGCTATCCCCACTCCACTCGTCCATGCGTCACGCGTCTTTGGTAGCGCATACTATGGGGGCTATATTTGGGGTGGCGTGTTTTACAGCGCTTTGCCAACAGCGCCACCCCACTCAAGTCTAGCGGGGTGGGTGGGTACTCTTATATTTCCATGTCGTGGAGGGTGGGGGGTATTTTGGGCCATCACTACCAGCTGTACATATCCTCGTTACTGCTGTTGCCTTCCGCTTTATTTGCATCGATCCTGGCCTTTGTTGTGGTTTGTGGTTTGTGTTTGTTTTGGTGCTGGTGGTTGGGGTCCAGGGGCTCCTTCCATTGACGGTTTCGAGGACGTTAATCCTTCCCATCCTTGCGAGGAACGCCGTACTATTTTTCAGGGGGGGAGGGGGGGGGGGGAAACACTGCCCTACCTCCTCCGGAATAACTCACAGCTGCAGGGCAAGCTTTCGTCGTGCCTCCTCGGGCGTCGTTCGAAGACCGTAACGGCCTTTTCCAGCGGATCAACCCTCGCGCCGTCGCGAGCGTCGAGGAGGGCCGCAGCGGGCACGGTCGGACTGTGTCTCCTCCGTGCGGTGCCCTTCCAGAAGCTCAAGATTCTTGTCGTGGTCTGGCANGAGAGAGAGAGAGAGAGAGAGAGAGAGAGAGAAAGAGAGAGAGAGAGAATTGAGGCCACCTTTTTGTTTTTTTACACATTTTCCGTGTCTCCGTCCTCCCCCTCCTCCTCCTGCTCTTATGGCCTTAAGGCGCTCTTTCTGATTCTCTGATGTTGATGGCGTTGCTGGTTCTGCTGGTGGCACCCTTGTTTTGTCATGTGTGTTTTCTCGCAGTTTTCGCACCTGGCGGAGATCCCGTATCCCCCTTCCTACCAGCGATTCCTCAACATCTTGGACATCTTCAACTTCGGTGAGAGCAGGTTCACTCCGGGATTGGGGGGGGTGTACTCTTATGTTTCCATGTCTTGGAGGATGGGGGGGTGTACTTATTGTCGTGCATGTCGTAGTCGTTAGACCATTGACCTCGCATCCCTACAAAGCCGGGACGGAGCACGCCGGGTTCTCACCGGACCAGGCTCTCACATCACCAAGCGCGAAGCGCCGTGAGATATTCGGCGAGTCGCATGAAGGGTGCGCTGCATCCTGCTAAGGGTGTTCGGCATCTTGTGCTTACTTCCTTGCGTACGGATGACAGCTACGTATGAATTAATTTATTTTCTGGTGCTTTCACTTCCTGAGACAGTTGTAAGCACTGTGTAACTGCCTCGGAGGGTGAGGAGTGATTTGGGCCATCACTACCAGCTGTACATATCCTCGTTACTGCTGTTGCCTACCGCTTTATTTGCACCGATCCCGGCCTTTGTTGTGCGATACACAATTAACCCTCCACCCACCCCCCGGTGTCGATGTTGTAAAACAAGCCGATCACTTCGTGAGCTCTCGGCAACCAGGTTACCGCTTTTTTGTCGCCTTTTTTGTTTTTGTTTTTGCGGTAACCATGAATGGTGGTCGAGTAGATCATGTTGTGCGGGGTACGCAGCTGTCATCGGTACGCAAGGAAGTAAGCACAAGATGCCGAACACCCTTAGCAAGGTGCAGCTCACCCTTCATGCCACTCGCCGAATACCTCACGGCGCTTCACGCTTGGTGATGTGAGAGCCTGGTCCGGTGAGAACCCGGCGTGCTCCGTCCCGGCTTTGTAGGGATGCGAGGTCAATGGTCTAACGACTACGGCATGCACGACTACGAGTACTCCCCCCTCCCCCCCACCCCCCCACCCCTCATATACGCCTCCACAACAAGACATCACGTGGCCCCTGACGGCGGCGTGCATCGTGGACAACATCACCTTCTACCACCGCCTGGTGTGGGTGACCCTCGGTCCCCTCGCACTCTTGACGTTCTTGTCCTTGACCTACGTCATCGCCATGCACGTGCACCGGCGGCGGAACTACTTCAGCAGCAGGGCTTCCGCGGAGGCTAGGCAGCGGGCCGTCGTCCGACATGCGAGCGCTGCTCTGCTCATCCTCTTCTTGGTGAATTTTGCTTGAGCAGGACTTCGTTGTTTCTTTTTTGTTCATGTCGGACAAGCGATACGTTTCGTCGCACGCCCTCTGCGTAAACTACACTTGAATTTTATTTTGTTGTTTTTGCTCATTTTAGGTTTTTTGGCGCTCCGGAGAGTTGTTCGATGTGTTTTTTGTGGAAGATTCCGCGGGGCGGGGGGGGGCGAGTGGGCAGTTGGGATGGGGAGGGGACGGGCTGATGGGCACTTGCCGCTGACGTTCTGGGGTAGCAGAGGTCGAGGGGAAGAGAAAAGGGCCGAGGGCAGGCACTGCCGTTGGACTCAGGGAGAAACTGTGGAGATCTGCCCTTGAGGTTGGCCGCAGTTTGGCTGTCGTTCCGGAATCACAGTGCGAAAACAAGAACCAAATTCGGTTTGTTGTTGTTGTGCAAGCGCTGCTTCGTGGCTGTACATCACTCTGTTACGAGAAACGTGTAGTTCGTCATCAATCTGCTGTTCAGTGCCGCATGCGAAGTTGTCTTAATTCGAAAACGCCGCCTGGATCTCGAACTCCTTTCCCGCTCGATTGTCTTTTGTTGCTCGTTGTATTTTGATGTTTTTGATCGGAAACGCGCCGTGCTTCAGGTGTTCAGCTCGGTGAGCACGACGGTGTTTTCTACATTCTCGTGCGACTACGTGGAAGATCTAGATGTGTCGCTGCTTCGCGCGGACTACAGCATTTCGTGCGACCACCCAGACCACACGTTCTACAAGGTACCGTAGGGCCAAACAAGAACAAAAGAAAGAACCTCTTCTGCTTTGGCACCCTTCCCCTGTCGTCAAAATACCCGCGGCAACAAATCGTCGGACGCGGCACAACGACGAAGATGTTCCGACAAATAGCTGGTAGAATTTGCTACAAACTCTCGCGGCACTCATCACTATCTACATACCACCCCCCCAGGCGTACGCGGCGTTGATGATCCTCCTGTACCCCATCGGGGTACCCATGCTCTTCGCGGTGCTGCTGCTCAAGCGGAGAGACAAGCTCAACCCTCCGGTCATGACTCTCGACCTTGCCCCGGAAACGGACCCTGTCCTCAAGGGGAGAGTCTCGTCGGACACGGCTAGGATGGAAGACGAGGGCAGCGAACACCCAGGTGCCGCTGCGGCCACCCCTCGCGCGACCCCCACCGCGAGAGGGCACGATAACGGGGNCCCTGACTCTCGACTTTGCCGCGGAAACGGGCCCTGTCCTCAAGGGGAGAGTCTCGTCGGACACGGCTAGGATGGAAAACAAGGGCAGCGAACACCCAGGTGCCGCTGCGGCCACCCCTCGCGCGACCCCCACCGCGAGAGGGTACGATAACGGGGACATTGAGCTCGCCGGCATGAAGGATACCTCGCGGGGGGCTAGGAGAGGCAGCGCTGTGAGCGCCGCGCCGGAACGGGACAGCCAGTACCACCGCAGGTTTAGCGGGGAGGGGGAGAGGAGGCTCCTGAGCACCGGCAGCAGCGGCGGAGCCCGAGGTCGTGGGAATGCCCGGCGCTTGTGCGTTGTCGTCCCGGCGGCCGCAGATGGCGGCGGCTTGGTACAAGACAGAGAAGAGGTGGGAGAGATGGAGATCANCTCGTGCGACCACCCAGACCACACGTTCTACCAGGTACCGTAGGGCCAAACAAGAACAAAGAAAGAACCTCTTCTGCTTTGGCACCCTTACCCTTTCGTCGAAATGCCCGCGGCAACAAATCGTCGGACGCGGTTAAGTTGCTCATTCGCAACTTCATTCCTTCGGTTGGGAGTGTGAAACACAGAAATGACAGAGTTGGCTGTAATGGATGTTACTTCTCCGGCAAACCTCTACCACATTTCCTTGGTTGTTGTTTATCATTCGTTGATGTTTGACCGCCTTGTAGTAGACTACAGGGTAAATCGGCCAACATGACAATGGGCAGCAGGCTTTTGGTCCTTTTTTTGTTGCTCTCCTGCGGGAACCGAGGGGAGGCAGCTGTTGACACACCAGTTGTACTTGTATTTGGAGCTATTTGCGGACTTGCCGCCGCTAGTTTTTCGCACGACTTGGGCACACAAGGAATCTCTGCAGCGATTGGTGTTTTGTTTCCGCACAACGACGAAGAGGTTCCGACAAAATAACTGGCAGAATTTGCTACAAACTCTCGCGGCACTCATCACTATCTACGTGCCCCCCCCCCCCCCCCCCCCCCCCCCCCCCCCCCCCCCCCCCCCCCCCCCCCCCCCCCCCCCCNCTGTACCCCATCGGGGTACCCATGCTCTTCGCGGTGCTGCTGCTCAAGCGGAGAGACAAGCTCAACCCTCCGGTCATGACTCTCGACCTTGCCCCGGAAACGGACCCTGTCCTCAAGGGGAGAGTCTCGTCGGACACGGCTAGGATGGAAGACGAGGGCAGCGAACACCCAGGTGCCGCTGCGGCCACCCCTCGCGCGACCCCCACCGCGAGAGGGCACGATAACGGGGACATTGAGCTCGCCGGCATGAAGGATACCTCGCGGGCGGCTAGGAGAGGCAGCGCTGTGAGCGCCGCGTCGGAAGGGGACAGCCAGCACCGCAGGTTTAGCGGGAAGGGGGAGAGGAAGCTCCTGAGCACCGGCAGCAGCGGCGGAGCCCGAGGTCGTGGGAATGCCCGGCGCTTGTCCGTTGTCGTCCCGGCGGCCGCAGATGGCGGCGGCTTGGTTCAGGACAGAGAAGAGGTGGGAGAGATGAAGATCACGGTCTGCTGTATTGGAACGTTTTGTGTTGCTTTGATGTGCCTCCTCTTATCAC